TCGCGCACACCACGTAGAAGCATTTCTCGTAAGCGATCTGTCTCTAGACCACGAGAGATAGATAACCCCGACTGGTGCTGGTATCATAACCAGTATGGAAAGTTTTCCAGAAATTGCAGAAAACCCTGCAATTTTCCCAACACGAAACCGACTGATTCGAAAAGCAATTCGGGAAACTTCCAAGCCGGCACGCGTTAACGGCAACCGTAGCCGGCGAACAAAGCCGTCTGTTATTCGTCACAGATGTGACAACGAGAGTTCGCTACCTCGTCGACACTGGCGCAGAAGTTAGCGTTCTCCCAGCAAATCCTAACGACCGACTACACGAATCGACCCTAAACTTACAGGCGGCAAACGGAAAACCGATCGCTACGTATGGCAAAAGGTACGTTTACCTTAACGTGGGTTTACGCAAACCCATCCACTGGATTTTCGTTGTTGCAGATGTTTCTATGCCAATCATTGGTATGGACCTTCTACAACACCACAATCTGATCATCGACACGCGCAAACGGAGGCTAGTAGACGGAAACACTAATTTGTCCGTTTGCGTAACTTCTTTTACTGGTTGTAGAGTATCCCCAGTCACAGTTAAACATATGATAGACCCACTCTATCAACCACTACTCGATAAGTACCCTGGGATACAACAAACTCAACCGAAACTACCGTGTGTAACCAGCAATGTTACACATCACATTATGACTACAGGACCACCTGTATTCTCTAAAGCACGACGACTAGCTCCTGAAAAGCTAAGGTTAGCGAAAAACGAATTCGATCACATGGTGGACTTAGGGATCATACGACCGTCAAGTAGCCCATATGCATCTCCGTTGCATATGGTCCCTAAAAAGGACAGCAACGATTGGCGTCCAACTGGTGACTATCGGCGATTGAACGCGAAAACCATTCCCGATCGTTACCCGTTGCCTCACATTCACGATTTGACAGCTACCTTGAAAGGTACAACTGTCTTTTCGAAAATCGACTTGGTTAAAGCGTATAACCAAATCCCTATGGCTACTGACGACATACCGAAAACAGCTATCATAACTCCTTTCGGACTCTATGAATTTTTGCGAATGCCTTTCGGTCTAAGGAATGCTGCTCAAACATTCCAAAGATTCATAGACGACGTTTCTCGAGGTCTCAACTTCGTACACGCGTATGTTGATGACTGCTTAATTGCAAGTCTGGACAGAGTAACACATCTCAAGCATCTGGATCTTGTTTTTGAACGACTTCAAAAACATGGCATAACTGTAAACGTTCAGAAATGCCAATTCGGAACCGACTCGTTAGACTTCCTAGGACACACTATCGATCCTCAAAGCATTCGACCTCTTAGGACCAAAGTGGCGGCCATTCTGGATTATCCAGAACCGACCACTGTCAAGCAATTACGCACGTTCAACGGCCTTGTAAGTTTCTATAGACGTTTCATACCGAAATGCGCATTACTTATGAAACCTCTGACCGACCAACTTCGTGGAAATGCGAAATCCATTAATTTGGACGACACCGCACGAAAAGCATTCTCCACAGTTAAGGAACTGATTGCTAAAGCAACGATGCTCGCACATTAGGACACCCGAGCACCCATTAGCATCGCAGTAGACGCATCCGACTCGGCAATCGGAGGAGTCTTGCAACAATGGGTTAACAACTTTTGGCAACCCTTGGCATTTTTCTCAAGAAGGTTGCTAGACACCGAATCGAGGTACAGCACATTCGGTAGGGAACTCCTAGCTATGTATTGTGCTGTACGGCATTTCCAACACTACATCGAAGGTCGTGAATTCACTCTTTTCACGGACCATGAACCGCTCACTTTCTCGTTAAGCTCTCCTTCTGACAAGTACTCTCCCCGTGAGTCTCGACAACTGGACTACATTTCGCAGTTTACTTCAGACATTCAACACATCTCTGGAGCAAACAATGTAGTTGCAGACGCTTTATCTCGCATAACTTCCTTGAACAGTTTCCAAGGAATCGACCTTCTTAAACTCGCCGAGCTTCAAAAAGAAGACACTGATCTTCAGCACGATTTATCGTCCACAACACTTAAACTACGCATCAAACAGATGGGAACAGGTAAGGAAACCTTACTTTGTGACACATCTACAGGTAGGGATCGCCCAATCGTGCCGAAACATTATCGACGCAATGTCTTCAATACATTGCACAAACTTTCTCATCCAGGCGTTCGTGCAACCATCAAGCTTATAGCAGAAAGGTTTTGCTGGCCTGGAATGAATAAAGACGTGAGGGAGTGGGCACGCTCCTGTGTAAGCTGCCAAAAATCTAAGGTTATCAGACACAATAAATGCCCCTTAGGCTCGTTTAAAACTCCCGATGCTCGTTTCGACCATGTTCATCTGGATTTGGTAGGACCTTTACCGGATTCAAATGGATACTCTTATCTCTTAACCTGCGTAGACCGTTTCACTCGATGGCCAGAAGCAGTACCTATCAAGGACATCACTGCTGAAACAGTGGCCTGCACCTTCGTCGAACGATGGGTAGCAAACTTTGGCTGCCCTTCAACCATCACTACAGACCGCGGACGTCAGTTTGAATCTGATCTTTTCCGTCGTCTGACCACACTTTTAGGAATCACTCGCTTCCGAACGACCGCCTACCATCCACAAGCAAACGGGTTGGTAGAACGTTTTCACCGACAACTGAAAGCTTCGCTATCAGCTGCAAACGTTTCACAGTGGACCGACGCTCTTCCACTCGTCTTACTAGGTATCCGCAATGCAGTGAAAGCTGACATTGGATACACTGCGGCTCAACTCGTTTATGGAACGAAACTTCGACTTCCAGGAGAATTCGTGGATCCTTCATCCTCTTCAATGAACATGGATCTAACCTCCTACACGAACAGGCTTACAAACGCAATGCGTTCAGTTAAACCTGCTTCCACTCGACCTCAATCAACTGATGTTTTCGTTCAACCTGACTTACGATATAGTACACACGTTTTCGTTCGTCGAGACTCGCATCGACGACCATTCGAATCAGCATACGAAGGACCCTTCAAAGTTCTTCAACGTGAATCTAAGTACTACATAGTCGATAAAAACGGAACCAACGATAGCATCAGTATCGATCGCTTAAAAGCAGCGTATTTAGAAGGAAATCCTATCTACGTGGATTTTCCTTCGGTACAATCGAACGACACGACTCCGACACTTATAATACCTCATCCGACAACCAACACACACGATGATACTTCGACAGTATCCGAAAATAAACTTAAAACGACGCGTTCTGGAAGAAGGGTGAGATTTCCAGAACATTTAAACGACTATTGCACGTAAGGCACTTCTCGACATTTTATATTATTTTTTAAAAAAAAAAACAATTTTAATATGCTTATATATTTTTATTTCTATTTAAAAAAAAACAAAAAAAACAATTTTTTTTAACGCTATTACGTGTTCATGAGTTTATTTCCCTTTTTTTTTCCACCGACATTGTGTTTTTACGCACATACGAGTGTATTTCGACATGCACTTACATTTTCTTTTTTCTTTTCCAGGACGGCTGGAAAAGAACGATGACGTTTATGAGGATCCGAAATTTTCATTGTACATTTTCTTTTTTTACTATGTTGTACCTCCGTCCCATATAGTAAGGAAAGACGACCAGACGCTGCTAAATTTAGTAAGCTATCAGAAGAGTGTTTACCAACGACAAACTCGTTGGGTTTAAACTTCTGGCTGGCCACGTCTTAGGGTCGTCACTGCCCCACTAGGGGGGGAGTGATCTGTAGCGGTAAATAAATCCCCAAAATAAATAGCACTAAGTTTTCGACATTGGATGCTGACCATATGTTTTAGTGGACTCACCTAGCTGAAGGCGCTCGGTCAGGCATCCGCACCAGATCACGTGTGGTAACGCCGTGCTCAACATCAACCGCAATCGCTAGCCAGATTAGATCAGAGAATTCCGATATATTGGTCATCGCCAAATATACTCTTCCGATCTCCTCGACTCTGTCTTTTGATTTCTCTGGGCGGGAACGAAATATATTAGAAGGTGTTACTGGTAGAAGCGTTGTCAAACACTGAATACCTGTGACATCATCATGGTCAATACGTAGGGCTTTTAGTCATGTCGACGCTAAGACGTTTTTGACTTTGTATACAGTGTTCGTTCGTCCTAAACTTGAGTACTGCATACAAGCGGCTAGCCCCTGCTTTAAAAAAGACAGTGAGCTTCTGGAGAAGGTTCAGAGAACGGCGACTAAGCTGGTTCCCGGAATAGCGAAGCTTCCGTATGAATCTCGACTGGCCAAGCTGAACCTTTTCCCGTTGTCATATCGCAGAACTAGAGGCGAATTGATTACAGTCTACAAATTGCTTAGTGATAAATTTGCATCTAACATGCCCCCATTTTTCTTGTCTTCCAAAACAGAGAATTTACGAGGACACTCCAAAAAAGTTCATAAGCCGAGAACAAATTACTTGTCAGCTGACTATCGACTTTCCCATCGAATCATCAACGAGTGGAATTCATTACCTCAGCACGTGGTTGAGGCTCCATCCGTCGACTCTTTCAAAAGAAAGTTGGATCAACTGAGAGACCACTATTGCCAGGACTAACATAGGCCATCGAGCCTCCTGTCCTTCCCAAACTGAAACTGAAACTGAATGTGACTTATAATCTCAACACATGATTGAAATTCCATCAGTTGACACTTTCAAAAGAGAACTTCGTCAACTTAAGGATCATCACTGTCAGGACTCACATAAACTACTCGGCTTCCTATCCTTTCAGAACTGAAACTGAAAGCTGTTTACATTGTGGCGCTTCACATCACTTCATGCCCTATAAGTCAATAGGTCGATAACTAAAAGTCAAACCATGGAAGAGTGGTCGAGAACTTATTTGGTTTGAATATGGATGCCCATGGTCTTATGAGGATCATCTGAGAGAGAATGGTTCACTATTCTCATTTAAGAATATTGAAGTTAATGTTGGACGTCGGTCGTCGGGTTGTGTTTTCCGTTGTGAACGCTACACCTGCGTGGTAGTGTTCGAGTTACAGCCCTATACAAACTTAAAATCCCTAGAAATGGTCGATATTGAGTTAAATGAAACCAGTGACAATAAGGTGACTGCAGTTACCAATGGCGACTTGTCAAAAGGAGATTCTTTGAGCAAGTCGGAAGATGTTCAAGATGAAACGCCTTACACAGTTAAGATAATTCCAACCCATTCAGATCCTTTCGAGTTACAAGTAATAAGTACTAATAAAATTTCACTATTGTTAAGGTGAGCTCTTTTGAGCTCGTTCAAGAAATTCATCGTGTGTTAATGGATCGAGAAGAAACATGCAGTTGCACTTGCTTTTCTTTGGTTCTAAACGGTCAGACACTAGATATGTTTGCAGAGTTAAAGTCAGTCGATGGTTTGGCTGATGGCGTCGAACTGAAAGTTGTGGAAGGTAGTCGATGATTGTGTTTACTAAGCTCCTATTTCAGAGCGCTATAGTGTTCGTGAAGCCAAAAATCATGTTCGACATATCCATGATCTCCTTCATTCAGTCGAGCCTAACGATGCATACGCAGGTAGAGAACAGATGTCCCTATCATTTGTCAATTCAGTAGCGGGAGAGCTAGGTAAATTTGGTCAAATTTCACTTTTGACTGTGATATTCGCTATATCAATGCTGCCTCGTTTTGTCTTTACTCACCAACGGGTCTACTAAATGACTCTGTAATAAAAGTCGATTAACTGCTCATGAAGATTCACTGGTTCCTAAAGTTGACTTATAAGTCAAGATATCATGGTGAGAATCAACGAGTGTAAGTCTTTTGTCAGCTTCTTTATCGACTGACTACACACTGCGATTTCTACACCGAGGACCAATATGTTTCCTTTATCAGATGTTTGTCTTGGCGATCGGTCTACATATTGCTTTTGTGCTGTGTGGATTTTATAAAGAGTACGCACTGGGCGGTTAAAATAATCAGTACTTTACCAAGTTCACGTGCAAATGGGGCATCATCTCACAGCAACTTCCAGTTTTCGTACTTTAGACTTAGTTGAGTAATAATAAACATACCATATCAATCGCTACAAACTTTGGTAGAGGTCGAATCATTTGTATTAACCCGTGTTAGGGTTTATACGCTTTTGTGGTAGTGTTAACTTATGCAGGTTTCAAGCTGCCAAGTGGTAGGTTTCGAATAGTAGCACTGCATTTGGTATTAGAAGGTTTTACACAAAACAGTACACAATTACTGGCTACTTTGATCAGTAACTCATCCTCATATTTACATTATTCACACTGTATTTATTAGATCATCATACCGTCTTAGCAATTTGAACAATTTATATGTAAAATGGGGTGAGACTTTGAATGATAAGTCTAAACTGGAGATGCATTTATCATGAAAGTCTTAGGATTAACTCATTTAATTCCTTATTTTCTCTTCAGAACGCAAACATTTCCCTACTCGGTTAGATATGCGCATTGATTTCATACCACCTGAATATGTTATGCCCGGTTTTGGTGCAAACACCAACCTCCCATTATTGCCTTTACATCCTTTGGATCGTGATGGAAAGCCAGTTAAGTGCGTTCGCCAACTTAATTATAGTAATTGGAACCCCCCACCACCTGCAAGACGACTCTTAGGAGATCTGATTTATTTATTTTTTCATACGTTAGAGGACAAAAAGTACCATATAACTGCTTGTCCCAGAGGATTTTATGTAAATATGTAAGCCAAAATATCGTTAATTTTTGCACATTTTCATATCCAGTGTGTATATGTTTTATGTCTTTACTTGGTGCTTTCATTATTAATTTGTATTATTGAACATCCCAACTGTTCTTAACAAAGTTGGTATTACAACTAAGCTAATATGAAAAAATCCCTGATGTCTGATCTTGAGAGGTCCTCCAAAATGGTTGTCCAGAAATAATTAAATTGACTGTTGTTATCTTGAAGGAATTCTTATTAACTTTCCTCACACATGGTCTTGTACACAAACGTGGTGATCAGGGTTTACGGTGATTAGTGAATAAATGAGCCACTAAGTTTTTATATTTTGTTGTTGTAAGCTTTAAGTGATCTCTTCAACTATTACTGTACGTCTTGTTATTCTTTAATTGCAGCGAATTATCTTTTTCCTGTTTTACAATTTTGGCGAAATTACATCTATATTGTAATTTCATATTCGTGTCGAAGGGCGATAAATGAACCAATCTATATTATTGTATGAGTCAAGTCACATGAGATATACTATTGGACTGCTGCTTGGTGGGTATTAGAGGACTGAAAAGTGGTTGAATAAAAGGTTTACATCCTGGACTAATAAGTTCGGGTTGTTCTCTCTCAAACTCAAGGTTTACTTTGTCAGTTAGGACGTACAATTTGTTGTAGCTTAAGATGCTAGTGATGATCGAAAATATTGTACATCGGGGTCGGAAATATAACTAGGATTCTTACTTGCAAGTCGCTTTTCTCTCCAGATACTGACAAGTTCCATCTCTGTGCTGTATGCGTATAAAACATGGATTTTAAGGATGAGAAGTACACGTAAATTACGTTAATGCATTAGTCACTATGGAAACGTCAGATGAGAGATGAGAAGTCGATTGGTCAGGTTCAAAATCATATGCGTAATTTGTTGTAATACTATCTACACGTGATCAGCCTCTATACATATGTTAAATAGTTTATAAATAACCCAAAAATATTAGATTCAGTCAAACGATCTATCAGTCTGTGATGTCATTGACTATTATCGGTCGTACTATTAGGTATAGATGTGGTAAGAGTCCTAATCTCAGTTGCATTCTTTAGGCTTTAGTGGGGCCCTTTATTTTGTCATCATTTAGATCGATGTTGTCGACGGGCTTTCCACTTTAGTGGTCCGAGATCTGACTCCAATTAGATCATATGAATGATTGCTATCGAAATGTATATGTCGCCTATCCTCGTATATAATCATCGACTTAAATCGCGTTAGTCAATAACGGAATTAAATAAGTCAAATAACGAGAATAGACTTATGAATACATATATTTTGTATATGAAGCGAATGGAATAGAGCGAAGCGAAACGATGCGCAGTGGAGATGGCGAGTAAGCCAACTCCCTTTTAATCAAGCGTTAATCAATATTTATAGTTACACAAAAATAAGTTACAGACATGTGATGAGTGATGGGATAGGAAGTTAACACACACCTACGCGCTCATATAAAAACAGTCAAGATTGATAAGCAAATAATTAACAAGGTCAGGATGTGACTCAAGTAGAATGAGTAGGTTGGCCTATCCGAAAGCCAGAATGAGTTATATAGGCTTAATATAATAACCTAGTGACAGGTTCATTTTCTATCGAAATCCTGACCTTAATTTATTACGTACTTACTATTCCACTTGATCAGTTTGGTTTTTGTCGTTTTCAATCCTAAAGATTGTTGTTAATGCATTATCGACTTTTTGTCCATTTCGTATGTTTATCCTGATGTTGAAAAGTGGTAACACTAATCGATGTATATTTATTCTGGTACCTGTGTGTTTTTGTGTCTGATGCTGACGACAACTAGGCAATACATTTTGTTGCATAGTCAGTGCAGTACGCGGTGCTGACTAGTGTTGGTAACGGATGGAAGAAATGTAGCGGCGGTCAAACCAAAACGTGGCATCAATGCTTGAAGTTACTAACGTGTAGTCTGAGCCATGTTGGTAGATGAAGACTACTTCAGTCAGTCAGCTACAACGTAGGACCAGGCACATATATGCATCGGTCCAAGTTGCCATACCGCATTAGCACAGCAAGATGAACACCGGATTCATAGGAGTGGTTAGGTCAAAGGTGGTAATATATAGGAGAAAGATTGCATATAAGGATACAGTACAGGAAGAAAGAATTAGTTCGTACAAAGAAAGATATGAAGTGATTTTAATCTCCTAGTTTGAGGGAAGACAGAGAGTGTATACACCGACGCCATTGTGATCGATTCTGAGCCATGTCACCAAGAGTCTCCAACCATTGGTTACGATCGTCACGCGGACCCCAAGCAAGTAGTCTGCATCTACCAACATGGCTCAGACTAGAGGTTAGTGTCTTCAAGCACTGATGCCACGTTTTGGTTTGGCCGCCCCTAATTTTCTTCCAACCATCTCTAACACCCTTTAGCATTGCACGTCGTGGTAATCGGTGTTCAGGCATACGTAACACGCCCAACCATCTCAGTCGATGAAGATTAACAACCTCATCAACTGATTTACCATCATTACCTAATACCCTGAGTCCAACCTCACTATTACTTACCTGGTGATCCCAACAGACGCCAGCAATATTTCTAAGGCATCTGTGGTCAAATACTAGTAGCTTACGGGTGTCTTCTACTCTTAAAGGCCATGTTTCGCTGCCGTAAAGTAAAACAGAATGGACTGCCGCGCAGTATACTCGTCCTTTTATTGATAGACGGATATCTCGCCTTCGCCAAAGGTGACGTAAATTGGCAAAAGCCAAGCGAGCTTTTCGAATCCGTGCTGAGATTTCGTCAGACATCAACCCATTAGGGCTGATCAGACTTCCAAGATAAATGAAGTTGTCAACGCTTTCGACTACTTCACTCCCTATCCTTAGTTCAGGTGTTGACGCAGGCCAGTCCTGAAGCAACAACTTGCATTTAGAGGGAGAGAAGCGCATTCTAAACATTCTGGCATTGTTGCTCAGTGCTACCAGAAGACTCTGCATTTTGTCAGCGTCTTCACCGAACAGGACTATGTCATCTGCGTATTCTAAGTCGATAAGTGAACCTCCTGGTAGGAGATCAATACCCGAAAATTCTGTGGACAAGAACGTTGTTTCCATCAGTAAGTCTATGATGAAGTTAAACAGAAATGGAGAAAGCGGACAGCCTTGACGGACACCACTTGAGGTTGCAAAAGTAGATGACAGTTCGCCATAAGCTCTGACTCGACTAGTAGTGTTCGAGTAAAGAACCTTCACAAGGTTTATGTACTTCTGAGGTACACCTTTCAATGACAGACACTACCACAGAATCTCGCGGTCTACCGAGTCAAATGCTGCTTTTAAGTCAAGAAAGACCACCATTGTCGGACGCCGATAAGTATGCCTATGTTCTAGAACCTGACGAATGGTGAATATGTGGTCGATGCAGCCACGACCAGGTCTGAAGCCAGCTTGATTCTCTCGTGTTTGCAGTTCACGAGTCTTAGTTAGGCGTCTGATAATTATCGAGGCCAGTATTTTAGGTATTATATTAGTTAAACTAATCCCTCTATGGTTGTCACAGGATGATTTCGGCCCTTTCTTATGTATTGGGACGATAAATGATTGCGACCAGTCAGATAGAATAACGTCTAACTCCCAGATCTTAGCTAAAATATTAGTCAACCTAATCGCTAAAATTGGACCACCATCCTTAAAGACTTCTGGAGCCAATCCATCTGAACCAGCTGCCCTTCCTTGTTTCAGATTAACTATAGCCTTTTGAACTTCTGCTAGAGTTGGGGGACCTACTTCAATGTTCCATTCACACTGTCTGGGAATGGAGGGTAGTTGTAGAGTAGCTGAAGGCCAGTTGAACTGTTCCCTAAAGTGTTCCGCCCATTGTTCCAAACGTCTGGACTGAGAGCGGATGAGGGTGTCGTCTTTTTCCGAAATAGTCTGACTTACACTTGACTTATTAATTCCAGTTTCTTTTATTAGTCTGTAGAGCTGTCTTGTGTTCCCTGTAGCCGCCGCCTTTTCCATCTCTTTTGCTTTCGTTGAAGACTTCTTAGTCGGGGTCCGTGCGACTATTGTAACCAATGGTTGGAGACTCTGAGTGACATGGCTCAGAACCGATCACAGCGGCATTGGTGTATACACTCTCTGTCTTCCCTTAAACTAGGAGATTAAAATCGCTTTATACCTTTCTTTGTACGAACTAATTCTTTCTCCCTGTATTATATCCTCATACATAATCTTTTATATATAACTGTCATTGAAGTAACTAGTTATGTGAATTTGGTAACCATCTTGCTGTGCTAATGAGGTGTAGCAGCTTGGATCGATGCATATATGCCCGGTCCTACATTGTAGCTGACTGAAAGTATTGTCATTTTAGTTTTGGTCTAATTAAGTGTGGAATCTGTTCTAAACCATTAAGGATATAATCCGTGCTTTAAACATGCTTAAACAAAATATAATTTTACTTCTGTGATCAAAACGTTTGATGTAGGAAGATCCCAGTAATCGAATAGGTTTTGACGGATTTGCGCAAATTCAATGGCTAAAATCCAACAAAATGTTTTTTGTTGAGTCCTTTTCTGAACTTTTTGAATGATATTAATTTTGCAACTATTTTACTTAGTTAAATACTTCGTGTGAAATGTAATTTGATTTCCTATTTTAGGTCCACGGATGATCAGTTTAATCCCCACCCCATACAACATGCTTATGTGGCACATTCTCTGATCGATCTCCTGCGTCAACTTAGCCCAGGATTCAAGCGCAATTTTGAGTCCCTTTTAAAAAATCGAGCTGCTAAACATCCATTTGAACGTGTTCCGACTCCGTATCAAGTTCATTCCTGGTTAGCGCCACTAGTTGAACATTCCCCAGATTCTGTAAGAAAAGAAGAAGGTATGTTCAAGTGAATTTGTCTAAATTCTCATTTTCAGAGCTTAGTTTTTTTGTCTCCCTATATTTTCTGACTTGAATATGAAAAGACATTTTAATAATAGATCATACAATTAATACACTTGTTAGTCAGGTCGTCTCACCGAGGAATGTTCTAGTATATCTATCATAAACCAATGCAAATGATCCAGTTTTGTGACTACCTAAAAGACAATGAACTATATTACTATTTCACTACACTAGATTTATTTATTTATAACAGTAATTTCGCTACAAATAAACCATAAGGCGATCGGCTACACGAACTTCAAACAATATTTTGGAGAAATAGAGGAGAAAGTATTGTATTCAACAAGTGAATAAACGAGGATAGTGTTTAGCAAAAAACTACTCAGTTAAAATTACCAAGGTATATCTTCTTCAGTTAAGAAGGTTCATCTTCCTCTTATGAATCATATATATATTTGACAGCTATGATGGTATTTCTTTTTGCATTAGCTTGAGTCAAAGGGCAAACTCCAGTTACGTTACTTGTTGATCATATAGTAATGGCAACTTTTCTTGTCAACACAATTCCATCTCCTTTGAAACAACCTTGTTTGATAAGTGAAAGTTAAGATATGTCCTAACTACTCACTTCTTACTGTTCCTGGTTTGGGTAATTTTCCAGCCTTTCACATGTGAAAGCGAAGGATATTTAGTGAAACTGGAACTACAAACAATGGAAACAGTTCGAAGTTGCTCACTAAAATAAATCATTAGTAATTTAGCACCACAAGAGTCTATATTTGACGTACCTTCGTCCTTTCACAATTTTCAACAGTAAGCAGCTCTCTCGGTGTTTTAATAATCGAATATCCTTGTATCCTTAATTGTATTTAGAAATATTTTTATACATTTGTTTTAAAATTTGCTGGATAAATAGCGTTTTCTTCTCGCATGGCGTGCGAAGAAAATTTGCCCGGTCAAACTAGGGACTGGAACGAAGAGCTACAAGTTACGCGTGAACTTCCACAGACACGTCTTACAGAGCGGCTACTTAGAGATCGTGCTATTTTCAAATCAAACAGTGATTTTGTTGCTGCAGCAACTCGTGCTGCTGTTAGCGTAGTAAATGGAGATATTATGGCTATTAACCCAGGAGAAACACGTAAACAACAAATGTTTATATGGAATAATATGTTTTTCTCACTTGGATTTGATGTTAAAGATCATTACAAACATTTCGGCGGTGAATATGCCGCATATGCTGCCACAGTAAGTTCATCTTGGTCACTGAACTCCTTTATTTTACACTGAATGTGATTTTATTACGTTTGACTTCTCTTCGTTTTATGCATTCCTATGAATATACTGAGATGAAATTTTAATCGGTAATCATCTAATGAGAAAGTACTGTTACATTCTTAACTGCTTTGCAGTTTGATTGAGCTATACAGTAAACACAATAAAATAAATGAAAGTTTCACCAACGATTAATTCTCAGTGTTTTGTCTTCCTCACTTTGATTGCTACTATTTTTTCCGATTCCTTTGCTATCCATAATGCCAATGCTATCTCATGCTAATATAGTATAGTAACTTAAATCAACGCAAATTCGTTTGAGGTTGTTCATTGATTATGATTGACCTTACTTTGCGAAATTCGCCGATATCCACACCCGCTTGATCAGAACTTAGAATTTAATTATGTTATGGCAGGACATCAATATAAGGCGAGTTTTAAGTATGGAAATACTTTGATCCAGTTTCGAGGTAACTGTAACTTGAAGATTCATGTAATTTGTTGAGAATTTGGTCCCAATTTAATACTGCAGTGTGTGCTACTAACGTCAACAGATATAAATAGTGTGTATCGTCAATCGGAAGTGAAATGTCGGAAGGTTAAGAAAATCGAAGAAAAGAGGACGAGAACAGAGGATGATTGGTGTGGAAACGAAGGAACAATAAAGTCTGAGACGACTGACTGATAGTTTGCAAATGAAGTATTTACTGTATGGTCCTCAGATTTTACTAAGAGATTCTGTGATTATATAATTCAAATACATTCGATTGTCCCCACTTGTGTTCTCGTTCACTTCAATACCGTCTCATTTCTATACGAACCAAAAAGTATTTGGACCTTTGTTTAGCTATACGCTGTAACTTCAGAGCATAATACTTCGCTTAATCCTAAATGACAAGTCAGTGGTCCAGAAAATGTAACTTAGTTAGTTACAAAAATCAGTATCTAATTGCATTCGGATTTGTAAAATTGGTCATCAATAGTTGTCTTACATATCGATTATCTCTTTTTTCCTCCAAAAGTATGTATAAGTCCTAATTCTTTTTTTATCATTTTAGTCTAGTGATTTGTGTGGAGTACGTGCATATTCGATGCTAGATCAACCTGGACTGTATACTCTTGGGACAGCTATTATTGATTACCGTGGTTTTCGCGTTACCGCTCAAACAATCATACCAGGTGAGACTAACAGTTTTCTGTATAACTTTCGATTGTTAGGCTGAGAAAATGGGTTTCAGACACCACTTAGAATAATTTGGTAAGACAATTTGAAAGGCTCCAATAATATCCTCATAATCCAGAATTTACATTTTTCACAAATCCTTAACCTTTCTTATCGCTGCATCTGAAACATGTACATCATATAAACTCACGTTATCTGTTTGTACGTATTTGATAACTTCATCTTCAGAGTTCTTGCAAACACAAAGTAAAATTAAACAGTGCTTGATATCTAATACTGTATGATTATTCTCTCTTTCAATTATCGCGTCGTGTATGAAGGTCATCCTTTTTTTTCTGTAGGTATTTTGGAGAAAGAACAAGAACAGTTAGTTGTTTATGGTTCAATTGATTTTGGTAAGACAGTGCTCACCGATAAACGTTATGAAGAGTTATTGTCTAAAACGGCTAAACAATTGAAAATCAAGCCACACAAGTAAGTTTTGTACTTTGTTCATCTAACTGTATAGTTTCATCTCATAAAAAATGAGTGTGTTTATTCTGCATTAATAAAATTGTGGTTAGGTTGCGAATAAATTGCCAACCGGATACTATTTAAAGCTAGAGTTTATCAAAGAGCAATGATCTTAACACTGAAACAGCGAATGCAGTTAAGAAACAAGGTCGACTGACGAATGTAAAGTTTTAAAGAATACTAAAAATTGAAACTACTTGTAGGCTAAAGAATGTGTATATCAATTGATTTTGACTCAAGACATGCATTCCTATGAACCTTGACAACAGCCCGCTGAGGTGACCACAGAAAACTCAGTTTTTATTAATAAATACTGATTTCCTGTCCTTTATTGATAACAACGAGTGAACTTTTTTTTTCTAATTCGTATTCTGGTTGACTGTCACCACTTCTAATTTGCAAATTTTCTGTTTCAAGGTTATGTTTTACTGTGTCTACGGAGATTCCCCATTCCAGTCATTTTTCATAGAAAAGCATGCCTTTTTTGTACTCCCCTTAATCTTAGATTTTATCATTCAACGATTATCGTCGAAGCGTTGTGTGTGGCAGTTGCCTTAAAATTGAGTGCACGGTAAATTCCATTCGCACTAGAGTAATCTCGGTCGCTTTTGGTTGGCATATTAGCGCAGACTCGACCGACCCAAATTTCAAGATCCAGAACAGCTACTCATGTGATCTACCTTGGTATGCAGACTTATGTTCTACCAATATATATTTGGGATAGGAACTAGCATGAAGTCTACAAACATGTCTTATTGCTTCATTTATTGTTTCAATTTCTAGCGTTTCGACAGGTGTTTTAGAAAAAATACATCTAAACTACGGCCGAATTCTGTAATCAGATAGTTTACATTGCATATAAATAATAACTAATAGACCGTTGTAAATGAAAATGAAATATAGATGGCCTCATGTTATACATCCACAACGTCGCATTACTTTAATCACTAAACGTTAAGGTTTCTGATATCATTTCATGTTGAAACTAATTCCAGTTTCAAAGGGATCTTCACTAACCACCTATTTACAAAAACCTAAAACAATATATTACTTAAAATCATAGTTGGAGCATGAAGGGTTCTTATTTTATTGGTTTTGGAGCTATGCAATGCACATTTCAGTATTTATTTTTCGATAAAGAAATCTTTCTCAAACTTTATTTTATGTCTAGTTTAGATAATCCCACTTCGTCAATCTTACAGATTACTTATAGTCCTCCTCTGTAGTCTTTAGTTTGGTCTGTTTAAAGTAGTGTTAATAACGGATAATAACAATAATACTGGCATAATTATGTTATTTGTTTTGTTTAGTTTATTTTAAGTGCTTTTTAAAATTCATTAATTAAATTAACAGGGTTGTCAATCAGTCAGGTGATGCAATACAGTTATATTCATCTGTGGATTGTAAAGGAATTGTTGGAAATGATAATCGAACTTATATTCTGGATTTACTACGTACTTTCCCACCAGATCTAAACTACTTAGATAATGGTAGTGATATACGACCTCAATTGTCTCCTGAATTGGTGAAATTAGGTTATCCTTATCAACACCGACATATGTTGGCGACTTTAAGACAAGAGTTGATCGAGGCATTTTTTGAGTAAGACTATATTTATCTATTTATGTCTGGTAACTACACACATAACACTCCTTTAAAAATCATTATTTATTATGGATTTTGGTACTAAGCTGATTGACGCGTAAATATCGTGTTGCCGTCATGTACTCGCCATGATGTTTCTTAACATCTGTTTGTTAAGAGTAGAATACTGGTTTTCCTTTCTTGTCTTGACCTGCTATTGAAGATAATTAATAAAGGAATCTATTGCTTTGTAACAGCTAGGTGGTTGAACCAAGCTACTTGCAATGTAGTTTCTATCCTTGATGCTCTATTAACTAGATCGCTGGAGTGTGGTCCCCTAATGAGACCACTTGCTTCCGTCTGGGCAGTCGAGCAGTACCTCAGTCCTCACACAAGTCAAATGATTTGTTGGGCGTATATATATTTGGTGCCTCCTTGTACCAATGTTTATTTGTTTAAGTAATAAATAAATAGGATTAGGTTTCCAACTTGTAGTTTTTCGCATCTCGTAAAACTCAGACATGAAGTGATTACAGATTAGTTAGTATCTTGCTAACGAACTAACCATACCTTATTGGTAAATTCACTTTTGTATTGGTTATTTGAGTCCTCTCATTGATGTTTAGGATTGCAATTCATCTATCTCTTATTGGCATATGTGCATCTTATGCGGATCGCCTCGATATTGCCTTAACACACAAGTATTGTAAGCAAATATAGATGGTGCCTAGCAGTGGAATGCAGAACGCGTTTCGTCCTATTTCGGAATCGTTAGCTGAATGTAACTTAGTGGTTTTCCCGTGAAAAGTACATTGACTACCATATTCCTTTCATCAGGTTTTAACTGCTATTTTTTTTTCGATTTCTCGCTGTACATAGCCATCGTTATGAAAAGTTTCTACGTCTGGCTGCTCTAGAGATTCAGAAGGGTAAATCTTCCTTAAAAGGTGAATGTGATGATCAGGTAAGAAGCGTCTACATTTTCCCATTATTTCAGTTATACATGTTTCATTTTTCCTTTTGCTATTTTACGTTGATTGACATTTATTTCAAGTCTTACATTATTTATCATCCATTATTCGGTCGTTTTGATGACCACCCCAAATGCCTTTGTACGACCGAGGGTGGGGAGAGTCCGCTCACCCTCTCGAAATGCTCTCACATGACCACGAGTATACAGCCACTGCCAGGGAAGTCATACTCAATGCCTTCTCGCGGCAGGGGTGTTTACGAAATTGAGAGGACGAAAAGCGAATGTCCGCGTCTTAACTGGGTTGGCGGATACGGAGCATTCACCATGGAACTGCCTCTCTTCACGTCGCTCCACTGCCCTGTGGATTAGACCTTCAGGTCGAAGGTTCCAGAAGTGGCCCCCTAAGTAAATCACCCGCTTCGGTCTGGGCACCCGGGCAGTATCACAGCCCATACACAAATCAAGTGACTTGTGTAGCGCATATTTATTCGGTGCCCCTTTGTACCAGTATTTAATTTGTACCACATTAAACCAACGAGAAAGTGCTCATTCGTCACTGAATTTATCAACCATACTCAATGAAATCAAATCACAGGTTTGTTATTAGAGTTTAGTATTAGTTTATACAAGATTACGTTGTTGCATTCTTTTATAAGGCAAGGAAAATAGTTAGCCATTTGCAACATATGACCGGGCATATATGCATCGATCCAAGCTGCTACACCTCATTAGCACAGCAAGATGGTTACCAAATTCACATAACTAGTTACTTCAATGACAGTTATGTATAAAAGATTATGTATGAGGATATAATACAGGGAGAAAGAATTAGTTCGTACAAAGAAAGGTATAAAGCGATTTTAATCTCCTAGTTTAAGGGAAGACAGAGAGTGTATACACCAATGCCGCTGTGATCGATTCTGAGCCATGTCACCAAGAGTCTCTAACCATTGGTTACGATCGTCACGCGGACCCCAAGCAAGTAGTCTGCATCTACCAACATGGCTCAGACTAGAGGTTAGTGTCTTCAAGCACTGATGCCACGTTTTGGTTTGGCCGCCCCTAACTTTCCTCCAACCATCCTAACACTAGTCAGCATTGCGCGTCGTGTTAATCTGTGTTCAGACATACGTGACACATGGTCGAACCATCTCAGTCGATGAAAATTTACAGCCTCATCGACTGATTTACCATCATTCCCTAATACTTCGTGTCAAACCTCACTTCTTAGCAGATGTGAGCAATATTTCTAAGGCGTCTGTGGCCAAATACTAGTAGCTTACGAGTATCTTCTACACTTAATGGCCACGTTTCACATCCATAAAGTAAAACAGAACGAACTGCCGCGTAGTATACTCATCCCTTAATTGGTAGACGCATATCTCGCCTTCGCCATAGGTCACGTAAGTTGGCAAAAACCAAATGAGCTTTTTGAATCCGTGTTGAGATTTCGTCAGACACCAATGCATTTGGGCTAATCAGACTTCCAAGATAAGTGTTGTCGACGCGTTCGACTACTTCACTCCCTATCCTTAGTTCAGTTGTTGACGCAACAACTTGCATTTGGAGAGGGAGAAGAGCACCCAAACATCCTGGTATTGTTCCTCAGTGATACCAAAAAGCTCTGTATTTTATCAGCGTCTTCACCAAACAGGACAACGTCATCTGCGTATTCTAAGTCGATAAGTGGACTTCCTGGTAGGAAATCAATGCCCAGAAATTCAGTGGACGAGAACGTTGTTTCCATCAGTAAGTCTATGATGAAGTTGAACAAATGTAGAGATAGTGGACAGTCTTGCAGGTCACTACTTGAGTTTGCGGAATCAGATGACAGTTCTCCATAAGCTCTGACTCGACTGGTGGTGTCGAAGTAAAAATCCTTCACAAGGTTTATGTACTTCTGAGGTACGCCTTCCAATGACAGACACTGCCAGAGAACCTCTTGGTCTGCAGAGTCAAGAAAGAGCACCGTTGTCAGATGCCGATCAGCATGCCTATGTTATAGAACCTAACGAATGGTGAATACTTGGTTGATGCGGTGACAATCGGGTCTGAAGCTAGCCTGATTTACTGTGTTTGCATTTCACGAATCTTCGTTAGGCGCCCGATAGTTATTGAGGCTATTATTTTAGATGCTATGTTAAACTAGTCCCTGTATGGTTATCACAGGATGATTTTGACCCTTTATTATATATTGGGACAATTAGTGATTATCTCGGTTGTTCCTGTAATCTAATCTACTTTTGACTGTCTTGTCACTGAGTTCAACTCTAGTGGGTCTTAATGTAGTTTTTCTGCGTCCAGTGAGGCACAAGCAAATATGTGCTCGTATTAGAGCATGATCAGAATCTAAACATGCGCTCCAGAACAATCGACAGTCTTCTATCGAGCTTCTCCGTCGTATCTAACTATCCTAACAACAATGTTTGGTCATTTTTCTCCTCGTATGATTCCTCGTTTTGCTTCGAATATCCATCTCAGTTTTTAATGAACTAAGCTATTTCACTCTTCTTTTCTGATCTCTTTACTCTGTATATCACTTTAAACTTCTTGCAGCTGACAGGAAATTTTAAAACAATTAGATTCGATGCATCTTGTTATTTTTGTTTAGTCAGATCAGTTTTGTTGTCTCATTTATGATTTGCTTTTAAATGCAATTCATATTACTCATGTTTACATGAATTATATTTTTTTGTATGTATTATAGGATGCTGCTAGTGTGCAAAATGGACAAGCTAACTGTTCAAACACTAATGATGATCCCTTATCTCCCAAAGATAGTCTAATTACAACCAAACACCAAATAGACCACCATGATGTTACTGGACACTCCAGTAATGCTTTAAACTCAGGGATTGGGACAATAAAGTCTCCAAGCAAGAATCAGTCAGATGATTTAAGCCTGATGAAAAGATTACTAGAAGATGATCAAGACACACAAAAAAGTGATTTGACTTTCATTGATTTTTATTATTTCTGTTTTAACTCTTTTATCTTGAATACAAATTTTCGCAGGCAAAAGGGTGTATATTTCTTAAGCTTGGGTATACTTTTTTGTTTTGATGAAATTGTGTAACTACGTTTGAAACAGTGGAGGGAGGGGGAGGACTTACGGGGTTTATTATATCCAAAGTTCACTAGTCATCACGGAGGACTGGATGCATGTTTTTTTGTATTTGAGACTAACGTTTCAACAGCCCTCATTCAAAACCTTCGACACGGAGCCTAACATAGGATTTAATAACCTATCAATATACTCCCGACTTCAATAGTTCTTAGTCCCTGAACAAAATTAAGTTCAATTTCAGTAGTATGTAGTAAATAAAACAAGCGGCTTTCAGTCAGTAGGTTTCAAATATGAATTATGACACATCTAAATCGGTTTGAGCAGCCGGATAATAAAATTGCTAATAAATTATTCTCAATAGTTCAGTGGAGATTTTCTTATTTCTAACTAGAAAATGCTTCCCATTACAAAGATATGAAAATGTACTGAAACTATCCATAACCGCTACTTTGATGAATTGGTAATCGGTTTAGCCTATCGTGTCTAATAAGTTCATCCATATAATCTGGAACTTGTTTTTCAAATTTTCACATGTTCAGACAAAAAAATGCATTGACAGTAACATTTTTTATCTTAACGTTAAGCTTTTCTATCAGTTCTGTTTAAATAAAGCATTGCAGTTGTTATTCACCGGTTTTCAGTATTGTTTCTTCATTTTAACTTGTTATTTAAACGCCTGTAATTTTTCTTTGATATTTTAACTATTTTTGTTCAGATGACGTAATTCGAGAAGCTATCCGCAAAGCAGCAGCAGCTGTCGGTTCTCTGAGTACAGATCGTTTTGAGCTTACATTCAATCCTGATATTTATCAGAAATTTGTCAAATTTTGTGATTCAGAAGTAAGCATTTTTGTGACACTCAAGTTACATTTCCTGTGTGTAGATTATGTTGAAGCATGTATTAATTAATCAATCTGTTGAACTTTACGTTAGTTGTAAATGGAAATATGTTGTTTATTCGTCATCAATAAATGGGTGGTGCTATCAGGGATTTAAACAGCTAAATTTCAACTGGTAGTTTTGTAACTAATTATTTGAAATTTATAAATTTGCATAGTAATTTGTACAATATTTCTCACTTGTACAATTTTTTTACTACTAATCCTGTAAAATGTTTCGAATGAACCATATGCCTAGTGAAAGTTTCCTTTCGCCTGTTACTCCTCGTGAAGGAGCATAGGCCGCTCACCAGCATTCTCCATCCAACCCTGTCCTGGTCAATCCTTTCCAGCTCTTTCCAGTTGTTCTTCATCCTTTCCATATCTGCTTCTATTTCTCGACGTAATGTGCTATTTAGCCTTCCACTTTAACGTTTCCCTTCAGAATTACAAGTTAGGGTTTGCCTCGTGATGCAGTTTGGTGATTTTCTCAATGTATGTCCTACTCAACTCAATCATCGTTTCCTAATTTCCTCTTCAGCAGGAAGCTGGTTTGTCCTCTCCTACAGTAGACTGTTGCTGATGGTATCCGTCCAGTGGACGTTGAGTATCTTGTATAGACAACCATTTATAAATACTTGTACCTTCTTGATTGTGGTTGTTGTAGTTCTCCAAGTTCCAGCTCCGTACAGTAGAACTGCCTTGGTGTTGGTATTGAAGATTGTGACTTTGATATTGGTTGAAAGTTGTTTTGAGTTCCATATGTTCTTCAATTGTAGGAATGCGGCTATTGCTGTGCAAATCCTCACCTTTACGTCTGCACCTGAACCTCCTTGTTCATCGATGATGCTTCCCAGGTATGTGAAGGATTCTACATCTTCCAAAGTTCCGCCGTCAAGAGTGACTGGATTGCTGTTCTCTGTTTTGAATTTGAGGACCTTGGTTTTCCCCTTGTTTATGTTGAGGCCTACTGATGCAGACTGCTGCTACACTGGCTGTCTTTATCTGCATCTGATCGTGTGTATGCGATAGGAGGGCTAAGTTATCTGCGAAGTCCAAATCGTCTAACTGGTTCTGAGCTGTCCATTGTATACCGTGTTTTCCCTCAGATGTCGAGGTCTTGATAATCCAGTCGGCCATCAGAAGAAAGAGGAAAAGTGAGAGAAGAAAACCTTGTCTGACTCCGGTCCTTACTTGGAATGCATCTGTCAGCTGTCCTCCATGCACGACATTGCACTGTAGTCCGTCGTATGAGCTTCGGATAATGTTGAAAATCTTCTCAAGAACTCCATAATGTGGAAGAAGTTTCCATAACGTTCGCCTATCTACATTGTCAAATGCCTTTTCATAATCAATGAAGTTGATGTATAGTGACGAATTCCACTCAACTGATTGTTCAACGATGATCCGTAGTGTTGCAATTTGGTCTGTGCACGATCGATCCTCACGGAATCCAGCTTGTTGATCTCGAAGTTGGGCGTCTACTGCGTCTTTCATCCGGTTCAGCAACACTCTGTTGAAGACATTCCCTGGTGTTGACAGTGGTGTAATGCCTCTGTCGTTTTCACATTTGCTCAGATCTCCTTTCTTTGGAATCTTGACGAGGTGTCCTTCTTTCCAGTCCATTGGCACTTGTTCCTCCTCCCAAATCTTTTTGAATAGAGGGTAAAGCATGTTTGCACTTACTTCAATATCTAACTTCAGTGCTTCAGCTGGTATGTTGTCGGATCCTGCTGCTTTCCCGCTCTTGATTTGTCTGATGGCCATTCGGATTTTCGTCGTTGGTGGGTTGACGTCTATGGGAAGACCTGTGTGTGCTGCTTCGATGTCCGGTGGATTGGTTGGAGCCGGTCTATTCAGGAGTTCCTCGAAGTACTCTACCCATCTGTTCCGCTGTTGTTGAATTTCAGTGATTGGCTTGCGTTCTTTTTCTTTGACTGGTCTCTCTGGTTTACTATATTTCCTTGTTAGTTTCTTCGTTGTATCGTGAAGCTGTTTCATATTTCCTTCTCTTGCGGCGTTTTCCGCCGTCGTTGCTAGTTCTTCCATGTATTTCTGCTTGTTGGCACTAATATTCCCCTTCACTTGCTTGTTTGCTTCTATGTACTCAGCTAGTGCTTAGACTTTCTCTGCTCGTGTTCGGCTGTTGTTAATTGCTGTCTTCTTGTTCTTCCTTTCTTTGGTCCTGTCCAGTGTTTCTATAGAGGTCCATTCCTTATGATGATGCTTCTTGAGGCCCAGAATCTCCTGACAAGTTGAAGTAAATGCTTCTTTGATACCTTTCCAGTTGTCTTCCATAGTAGTTTCTTCTTCTTTCAGTAGATCCCGTAAGGCTTGGAACCTGTTGTTGAGAGCTATCTTGGATTCATTGAGTTTGTCAGTATCTCCAATGAAGGCAATATTGAACCTTTGTAGTGCTGTTTGTCCAGTTCTTTTTTAGCTTCAGCTATGCCAGCTCCTCTCCTGGTTCTCATATCTTCCATTGTCCTTCGGAATTTTTTATTGATGCAAATATGATCTATCTGGTTCTCTGTGGTGTGGTCCGGTGAGATCTATGTAGCTTTGTGTATACGTTTGTGTGGAAATATTGTGCCGCCTATGACCAATTTGTTGAATGCACACAGATTTACAAATATTTCTTCATTTTCGTTTCTCTCTCCCAGTCAATTCATGTCGTCCTATGATATTTTTTTATATCCGGTGTTGTCTATTCCGACTTTGGCGTTTAGATATCCCATCAGAGTGGTGAGGACCTTTCTTGGGCACTTCCGTATGACTGATTGCAGCCTATCGTAGAACTGATCTTTAATTTTGTCGTTGCTATCATTGGTGGGTGCATAATACTGGATAATATTGTGATCTCCCCCTTTGTTTTGAATGAGGCTTTGATGATTCTGGATCAGTGAGATTCCCATCCTACAAGTGCATTTCGTGATACTTTGGACAGCATTAGAGCGACTCCCTGAGTGTGTAGAGCATTTTCCTCTTCTTAACCGGAGTATAGCAGCATCTCTCCCTTATTTAGCCTTTGTTGTTCAGCTGGGGTTGAATGGGTTTCGCTGATTCCCGGTACTGCCAAGTTGTATCTCCTCATTTCCGTTGCTATTTGATTGGTCTTCCCGGTCTCCCACATTGTTGGGACGTTCCATGTACCTATAAAAATTGTTGCTCTGGTTGTTAGAAGTGGCATCGGCCTAGTGGCTTTTGAAGGAACTCGGCTTTCACCATAAGGCGTCATAGTTCTTCTAAATGAAGACCTTCTAACTCCTAGGGCAGAGTTAAAATGGTTTGAATTATTTTTTCTGGTTAACGTTTTTTTTAGCGAGTTAGTTTTCTACGGGATGGGGTCGCTAACCCCGTACACAACCCTCCTCCTTTACCCGGGCTTGGGACCGGCAGTAACTCTAGAAGAGCTACAGGCTGAGTTTTCATTTATATTCCCAGCTGTTAATATATCATGTAATAATTAACTCATTCATGTCACTTACTTCACTGAATGGCCTTTAATCCTTCGTGTATTCATATCACCCGATCGAAGCTGCTACCTTGACGCGGTGGTCGGGCTTGCCTATCGTGATGACCCAACCGAGCTATATTGGCTGGAACAGATGTTCCTGCAGGTTCTATCATGCCAGGCAGGTCGATTGGTGAACAGTAAGACTAAAAGCAGCAACTCAAGGTCTGAGGGCGAAGTCGTACTGCTGACTGTAGAGGGGTGTGACAGCAGTAAGGTGTTTCCCTCGGACATCCAGCATGACAGCGATGCTGCCTTCCCACAAGGAGGGGTGGGGTTAGAAAAGGTCGACCCTAAAAATGTCACACCTCACCTTACCTCACGGATTTCCGTCTCCGGCGGTAAGGCCCTTTGAAGAACGGAGCTAACACGTCAAAAATCTTCCACAAAAAGGCCGTGCGCGACCGGCCTCAAGCAGTTGTCCCTTGGGCTCTGCGGTCACGCTCCCAGGTCGTCAAGACCAACACTAATCCAATTTCCTTTTCAGGTTCCTCAAGAAATACCCTTCCACGGTGTGGGCAGCCGGGAAGTGATATCAGCCCTCATACCCGTAACAGCACAAGAGACCAAGGTGGTCACATTCAAATCTTTCCTACACCTTCTAATACCTCTCTTATCTCCCCGACTAACTCTCCCCACGTCTCTTTATCACCTCGCACCGCTAGGGCAAACGATTCGAGTACGTGGAACGCCATTCCTGGTCTCCTGAAACCACGCTCTAAACTACACGTAGGAGCTTTTAACGTACGAACACTTTGCCAAATAGGACAGCAGGCTTCCTTAGCTAAAACTTTAGAATCTCGCGCCATCGATGTGTGCTGCGTCTCCGAAACGCGCATACAGGATCCAAGTAGCGTCATTCATTTGACCTCACCATGCCAAAATAAAGAACCGACTCGATTTACGCTTCGTGTATCTGGGAGCCCTGATTCTGCTTCCCGTGGCCTCGCCGGCGTAGGTATAGCATTGAGTCCTAGGGCAGAACTAGCTCTCTTAGAGTGGATCCCAGTAGACAGTCGTTTGTGCGCTGTCCGACTGAGCGGAACAGTAAGAATCCGGAAAGATAGGGACACTCGTCGTTGCCTCTTCGTCGTCTCTGCCTATTCTCCCACTGACTGCAGCTCAGATGATGTAAAAGATGAGTTTTACAGAAAGCTTTCGGACCTTCTCCGAAAAGCTAGGCGCTCGGATGTAGTATTAGTGGCCGGTGACTTTAATGCTCAAGTAGGTAAACTAAGCGATAGGGAAAGACACCTAGGTGGATCTTATGGTGTCGTGGCTCAAAGAACAGATAATGGCGACCGTCTGTTGCAGCTATGCTCAGATAACCGCCTGTTCCTTGCAAATACTAACTTTAAACATAAGGAAAAACATCTTTTAACATGGAGACCCCCTAATTCGTCCCAACGTTGGACCCAAATAGATCACATCGCTATCAGCCACCGATGGAGGGGCTCGATAGAAGACTGTCGCTCATTCTGGAGCACATGCCTAGATTCAGATCATGCTCTAGTGCGAGCGCGTATTTGCTTGCGTCTTACTGGACGTAGGAAAGACGCTGCAAGAAAACCTCTTAGGGGCCTACTTAATGATAGTCAAGCTAAGAGTATATTTCAGGAACAACTAGGAAAACAGTTAGGCAGCCACGTATGTGATGCTCATCCCGAGGCAGCATGGAATGATATCCGAAAAGCTGTGGAAACAGCAGTGATATCTGCTAGTAAGGTAACCCGTAAGGTTAGGGAGCAACACTGGATCTCAGCAGCATCTATCGCACTGATAGATGCTCGGAAACTCATTCCACCTGGCTCTGAACATAATGAAGAGAGGAGTCAGCTTAAGCGCAAGCTGACCAGAAGCCTACGCAATGATCGCGAACAGTGGTGGGTGGCGAAAGCAAGAGAGATGGAAAAGGCAGCGGCAATAGGTAATAGCAGACAATTGTTCAGACTCGTTAAGGAAACCGGAATTAGGAACCCGACCGTTAGCGAAACAATCTCAGAGAAAGATGGACATATTATTCATTCTCAATCCAGGAGATTGGATCGATGGGCAGAACACTTTAGGGATCAGTTCAACTGGCCTTCAGCCACACTTCGGTTTCCCACGATCTCTAGTCGACCTGAATGGCAAGTTAATGTAGGTCCTCCGTCTCTTTATGAAGTTGAAAAAGCCATAGGAAATCTGAAACGAGGGAGAGCAGAAGGCCCTGACAGGTTTACTCCTGAGATTTTTAAGGATGGTGGTCCAGTATTAGCAATGAGATTAACCGAGGTCTTAGGTAGAATTTTGGAACTGGACGTAATCCCATCTGACTGGTCTCAATCACTGATTGTGCCAGTCTTTAAGAAAGGACAAAAGTCCTCTTGTGACAATCACAGAGGAATTAGTTTGACTAATATAGTGTCTAAAATATTAGCTTCAATAATACTTCGACGCCTAATCAAAGCTCGTGAAGAGCAGACTAGAGAAAATCAGGCTGGTTTTCGACCTGGACGTGGTTGTATAGATCAGATATTCACACTACGTCAGGTTCTAGAACACAGACACACATTCAGACGCCCCACAATGGTAGTATTTCTCGACCTTAAGGCGGCATTCGACTCTGTTGATCGTGAGGTTCTATGGCAGTGTTTGTCACTGAAAGGAGTACCAAAGAAGTACATTAACCTTATAAAGGCTCTCTACTCGAACACAACTGATAGAGTGAGAGCTTATGGCGAACTGTCATCAGAATTGATTACCTCAAGTGGTGTTCGTCAGGGCTGTCCACTCTCCCCATTCTTGTTCAACTTTGTCGTTGACGTACTTTTAGAGATGACACTTTCCTCATCTAGATTATAAGGGGTTGAACTTCTACCGGGAGGTTCACTTGTTGACTTAGAATATGCAGATGACATAGTTTTATTTGGTGAAGACGCTGACAAAATGCAGAGTCTTCTGACCACTCTAAGCAACAATGCAAGCATGTTCGGGATGTGATTCTCTCCTTCGAAATGTAGAATGTTACTTCAGGATTGGGTTGCATTGACACCCGAACTAGTGATAGGGAGTGAAGTAGTTGAGTGTGTCGACCGCTTCACTTATCTTGGAAGTCTGATCAGCCCTTGTGGTCTGGTGTGTGACGAAATCTCAGCACGGATACAGAAGGCTCGAATAGCTTTTGCCAACTTGCGTCATTTATGGCGTAGGCGAGATATCCGTCTATCAACCAAAGGACGTGTTTACTGCGCAGCAGTTCGTCCCGTCCTACTTTATGGCAGTGAAACATGGCCGGTAAGAGTAGAGGATATTCGTAGGTTACTAGTATTCGATCATAGGTGTCTTCGAAACATTGCTCGTATATCATGGGACCATCGAGTAAGTAACACAGTTGTTAGGACACGGGTACTAGGTAAAGATGGCAAATCAATTGATGAAGTAGTGAAACTTCATCAGTTGAGATGGCTGGGACACGTGTTACGTATGCCCAACGACCGACTACCTCGACGAGCGATGTTCAGTGGTATAGGAGTAGGTTGGAAGAAAGCTAGGAGCGGCCAGACCAAAACATGGCACAAATCCATGAAGTCACTGACAAGTGGACTGAGCCATGTTGGTAGGTGTAGACTACCTGGTTGGGGACCACGAGATGATAGCAACCGATGGTTAGAGACCCTGAATGACATGGCTCAAAATCGTTTGCAATGGCGCACGTGCATCTACTCTTTGTGTTCTCCCAAATTTCGGTCTCCTTATCCCTCCTGGTCTTTTTTCTCTTCCCAAATTTATTTCACTGGATTATACTCTTTAAATAACATCTCCAAACCCTAATCTTCCCGATTACTGCTCATACTCTTACTACCTCTACCACTACGGGATTTGAACCGACAATTGTATCTCTGTGCTAATGTGGTATGGCAACTCGAACTGATGTACGTACGTACGAAGTTCTACGTTGTTACTGACTGACTGGTCAGTGTTTGTTTTTCGGAATTCACTTGTTTTGATTAAATTTCTATACATGTCTCAGACAGAAATGTACTCTTCTGCATTTTAGGAACAATCACTAACAGTTGATCAAGAACTAGTATGCAGTGCTTGCGAATTTCTGGTTTTAAAACAAATTCCAGCATTTGTTAGAGACGCGTTAAATTTGTGCATCACTCCTCAAGATGGTAGAGCTCTGATAGAGTTAATGCATCAGCGGTAAGTTAAGTGGTGTTAATATTTGACCACCTAGTTTTTATTACTATATGAGAGTTTTGGATCATGATTAGGAATTCTAGTTTGTTTGCATAAAATATTCTATGTCCTAATGGTCGTCTTAAATTGAAAAAAAAAGGATATTGGTAGATTTGCCTTCACAGTAAAGAAATAGTCTCGTTTATGATAAGTTACTAGTCTCGTTATCTGAGAGTTTTGTTGAAAAATGACATGACTATTTAGCTGTAGACTTTGATAGCCTTATTTTATTTTCATAACAGAACATACTTTAAAAGGTCTTGTGCAGCATTTATTGTAATCAATTAAAGAACATTTTAATGACTACTTAATTTTACAATATAATTAACTTTGCAGTGAATCTTTAGGTTTAACAAACGTTGTGGTATATGACATCATTATTTTTGTTAACAGTGCAATATGATTAACAGGCTATTCAGATGATTGATGTTGACTGCAGCCATATGATTTTTACTTTTATGTTGTCTTATCCAGAAACCGTTTAAATTACACTACAGATTGCATTATGTTAAATGAAATAAATTTCCAAAATGCTTGAATAAGCTGTTCTATTCTAGAATAATTCTCCTTGTTTCTTTTTCTTTTGTAGTGGCATTAATGTGCGTTATTTGAATCGTGTAATCGAATCAGTCAGCATTCACCAGTCGTTAGGTTATCTCAAAGTGAGCATATACACCCGTCCATATCTTAAATATTAGTGTACAGAACAAGAATATCATATTATGTTTTTAATTCGGTTCTTTTCTTATTATTATTATTCACGTAGTTGCATATTGCGAATTTTGATACTCATCTCTTTTGCTATGCTTTTTTGTGCTTACAATCATCCATGTTCGTTTGTTAGATGTTAATTGTTCCCTTGTAAACTGGAATTCTTTGTTCAGGTGGAAAAATTGAGTTGGCTAAGTTACCAATTAGTAATTAAATTTCACACCTGTTCTTTGACTGTCAATGATATTCATACGGACGAGTCTGTACATCATAATGCTCTGACAAACTATAATTTTTATGTAGATCGAGTTTTGGGAATTTACAAAATACTTCGCTAGACTAACATATAATTAATTATGATTTTACTTGTCATAAATGTGTTTATTTGAAGTGTTATCGAAAAATGTAAAATCTTCAGTAGTTTTTGTTGTAGTGAAGATAAGTTTGCTTGTAAATTCACTACAATAAATAAGTTCATGAACTTATGATCCAGACGTACTTTTCCTTACCAGATTAGATTTCAATGGGAGTGGGTTGGCATCACAATTTCCTAGGGTAGTTACTGTTTTATGTTTATTGTCAAGATGTTCAGTATTGTTATGTCACTGTTGTTCATTCTCATTTTTCTTAACTTAATGTTGTGCAACAGGTTACATTAACCGTTTTATTGTATGTTTATGTTCCCTTGTTTTATCTAGAAAATGGCTATTTGCGAAGTTTTGTTACGGTCTGCAAAACATTTATTTAAAACATATCTTCAAGATGTTGATCCTATGCTTCTTTCTGTTGGGGTTGCTCATTTTCTCAACTGTTTTCTAACAGCATGTCCTAATCTTACACCGTTACTTGGGATTGATGAGGTGAGTATATTTGTTTAATTGAATTAAGATAATTTTGCGCGTACTTGCATTCAGTTAACTGTGTGTGTGTGCTATTACATGTAATCCTGTTCTGCTTAACAAATGTATTAAATAGTGCTTTATTAATTACTTGTTAATATGATGAGATTTAATAGTTTCATAATTAATTTGTAATCGTTTTGATTATCTAATTGTTAATAGTTTGACTGAAATTTGATCCCTCTTAGTTGGAGTATCTACATCCTGTGTGGATCGCCTCAATATAGCCATTATGGCACAAGTTTATGTGAAATAGGTTGTATGTGGTTAGCAGTGTAATCCAGCGCGCGCGTTTCATACAGCTAACGAGTTCCAAATAGGACGAAACGTGCGTCTTGGATTCCACTTTTCGCCACATCCAATCGATTTTATATAAAAAATTCTGCATCTTAATAAGCAATTTTGAATTATCATTACTATTTTTAATATTATTTTCGAATATATGCGTTCAACGGTCAATTATTTTCGTTAATCTAATGCTATGCTACACTCTATGATATTGTATCTTCTAAATCGGTAATTTAACACAAATGATTTTATTTCGTTCTTTTTTTACTTCAATGGTAGCAAGTCCTCAAACTGAATCGTAATAAAAAGAATAAGAAGAAATTGAAAAATCTTCGTGAATCACCAGGTTTGTTTGTATTGAGTTTCATAAAGTTGTATTTCATATACGCTATACGGTAATCTCAAATTATAGACAATTGGTATTACAATTATCACGTAACAAAATTCAGTATTAGTGAACAGTGACTTTTCATTACGTATACATATACTTCTATATTGCCACCTTTACGTGTTATCAGTAACATTATAAACTGTATGGTTATTTGTGTCTCCACAGTCTAATCGATGGATTTGTGTATAAATACCCTAAAGCAGTTGTATTACATCATAATGTATTGTGTTGCTGGAATTTCGACAATTAATGCTCTCCTTAACTTTGTAGTTCTACACTTAAATGTGAGCTAGCTTACGAAAATCCATAAATTGTTTTTCAGTTTGAGTATATCCAACTTCTATACGTTTAAATTGTTGGAATGTATATTTAACATTGTACTTATATTTAATCTGTGATTTAATAGAAAATTATTCATTCTATGTATACTTTATACAGAAAATAAATAATTGAGTTTGTTTAACATGGTGTTTCCAACAATTTTTTATTGTTTTATTTCTTTCACTTAACAGAAGAAATGGCATGGCTTAATGAAACACATTCCAGTTTATGGTCTGAAATAATTAAAGAAGCTAAGGAATATTATCATTATCAAATAACTGCGTAAGTTAATCGTTCTAATCAGAAACGACTACAATTTCGACTTAGTCAGTTAGCCAGCCATGGATTCTTGAAGTAAAATTTCTTAAGGCGACGTACAATCTAAGGAAAAAGAAAAGCAAATTCATCTTTGTCGTTGCAAACTATGTCACCTGTGATCTCCGACCATTGATTACAATAAACTTCCTACTAGGTTGTCTGCACCTACCTACATGACTGTCCAGTAGTCACTGTCTACTTTGAGCTGTTGCTGCGTCTCGTTTCTTTTCCCCTAACGTTCTTCCAATCTAGTACACCAGATGACATCATACGTCGAAGTAGGCGGTGATTGGGTCTACGTAGCACCATATTTCATCCACGTGAGTTGATAATGAGTCAACACATCAACTAATTTGGCATCTTTACCGAATACTCCTATATATAATCTCAGCACTGCTCACTCGGTGGTCCCATAATACACGGGAGATGTTTCTAAGACATTTTTGATCAAATACTGGTAATTTATGAATACTAACTGTTCTGAATACCCATATCGATTGTTGTTTTTCAACATGTTTTTCAACTGATAACAGCTAGTCCCTTAATGAACGTCAACATTGTATAATACCTTGAATAGGCCTTTGTAATTTAGTTTATTATTACTATTATTATTTATTATCATTATCATCTTATTGTCCTTGAATGCAAGCATAAATACCGAAAATTCGAACTATATAATTAATTACGACTATGAACTATTTAAAGTTTCATAGTGATTTTGGTACTTGTTGAATGGTTTTCTTCCTTATGGTCACGCTACAATTTTTATATGTAATTTTTCATGTAAAAGATTTTCAGTTTGGTGTTGTGTGAATCATTGAATTTCATTTTTATCATGGACCGATGAATGTCAGATCACCATCGTAGATTGGACACTAACACCTTAGTTTGCCAGCTCAGTGGTCCAAAGGTCGTGTTTATGCGTAAGACCTAAGATGTTGAGTTCGAATCCCGCGTGTAGGATCGTGGATGCGCACTACTGCGATGTCTCATACTAGAACAAGACGACCATCCAGTGCTTCCAAGTTTTCAATAGTGGTCTACCACTTATCGATTCATGATTTTAATATAGAAGATTATTTATCGCCTTAAATAATTCTGTAATGAAAGGTTGTGTAAAATCTTATGGCACTAAGCAGTAATTTTAATCATATGTTTACAACTACACAACTATAAATTTTCATTTAGTTTCAAATACATTTAACGAACACTGATTTCAAAACTTCAAAAGATACTATCTACCATTACTTAATAATTAAGTAACAAATACTCATTAGTCTGGGCATTTATTATGAAAATTTAACAATGAAGATTAAAAACAAGCAACAGTTGTTGTCGAAGCAAATTAAATCTATCACGTTAACTAATTTATCTAATGAAATCTTTCACATTATGCATCAGTTTTGTACGGTTTAAATTTTCTCCGATTTCTGTTAATCCCTCATTGCTTGTTCTTCACATTCTAATTAGGCCAGATAATGCATTCAGCTTTTTTTTAATAAAAAAACAACAGTCATTTTTAACATTTTTGACCATCAATCCTTTCATCAAAGTTGTAATTCAATTAACCTTTGTATATGTTTACATTTATCGCACACATATCGGACAACGTTTTATATATATATATATATATATATATATATATAGTACATATTTTATAATTATTATCGTTTTTAATAATCGATTTTTTCTTCCAATCTATCCATTTTTAGGTTAGACATTGATGAATTCTGTAAGATTTATGAAGTTCAACGTATTCAGCTTCTTAGAACATTTTGTACATCTGTTGGTATTCAGCTACTTTTACGCGAGTATAATCTCAATCTACCGAATGGTGCTAAACATCATCAAAAACCGGTATTTAATACTGAAGATATAATATCTCTTTATCCAATAGTGAAACATTTACATCCTCATGCAACTGATGCTTATCACTATTTTACAACTGGTCAAGCTCGAATTTCTGCTGGTCATCTTCAAGAAGGATTTGAGTTAATTAATGAAGCTTTAAGTCTTCTGAATGGTGTATATGGTCCTCTTCATCCTGATATTGGTGCTTGTAATCGTCTTTTAGCTCGTTTATCTTATGTCATGGGTGAACATGAAGCTGCATTATTATTTCAGCATCGTGCTACAATGATTAGTGAACGTGTACACGGAATTGATAATCCGAATACAGCTACTGAATATGTAGGTTCTTTATATTGTTGCGAATCGACTTTTTTCCCAAAAAATTTAATATGTAAAACCTAATGATAATAAATGTACAACATGCTAAGTTTGAAGAGGTTACGAGTTCACCTAAATCTGCGGATGGAACGAAGACTTAGCGACATAATGACCAGATAAGTTGACTGTTCTGATGCGTCGCGTCCCAGCCCGATAACTAGGGCGAGAAGTTCACGTTCAGAAGAGGGAAATGTATTCCACAAGCAGCCAGAAGCACGAACAACAATAAACACAACTGAAGTGTATATAAATATATAGCATAAAACGTCCTTGGGAAACGTTACAAAATAGCATATTAAAAGAGACAACGAACCAATGACATTTAAGGTCCTCTCAAGTGGCAAATATGATATAGAGGTGAAAACGGTCGCTTTTGGCGCGAAAGAAAAAAATTCAAATTCCGGAAATAAAATTACATTAATAAGACATTTACGAAGTAAGTTCTGTGAATCTAGCATCCCCAACACAACAACAAAAGCACTAATGATTAACTATCAGTAAGGGGGATCTGTGGGGCTTTCAGTATTTTAACAGTTTAATTCACGAGTATTGAAAACCTGGAACCACTGGACGGCCATTTCGTCCTAGTATGGGACTCATCAACAGTGCGCATCCACGGCCACACACACTGGACTCGGACCCGGGACCTTCGGTCTGACGCATGGACGCTTAACCTGTAGACCACTGGTCAGGTATCCAACAGTGTTAATGTCTAACTCCAATCGATTCATGATCTTGCGCAACCCTTCATTCATTATCTGAAACGGATAACTGTCTCATACCCGACACTGATTGGACTCCATTGGTCACGGCTTAATTGTAAAAAATCTCTTATCTGAAATATTAATGGACCAGCTTGTATGAATACGTCTTGCTTAGTTTAGTTTTGTGTTGTTGATGAGTTAATATGAAGATATCAATTGGTAAGTTGTTCAATCAACTATTTCTAAATGTTTTAACTAGCAATGATATTTATGTTATTATTATTAATTATGAGAATTACCTAATTGTTATGGTATAAAAACTCTAGCTTCACATTCATGATTCTTTAATATCCGTTTACCATAGATGCTAGTTTACTGACCGATTTCTTTTTATGCTAACGGCCATTAGAAAACTCATTTCCTCTATTTTTACTCTTAAACACTTTCAATATACATTTAATAACCAATGTCATCTGATCAAAGTGTGGTAAATGAAAACGTATTTTGTATATGCCCCGTTGTGTATTTCGACCCAGGGGTTTTATCAGTTCAATGAAATCGTCGTTCTCAATAATTTTCTCAAATCAACTTAATTGGCTTAATGAACTGTAGCTTAATTCTGTAATCCACTTACTAACCGATTAATCAACAAGTATACTGCATACTGTAATTTATAGATTCTTATTGATTTGTTCCAATTACTTTATTTCTTCCCATCATGTAGATACATTTCTCACTTTATGTATTCGCTTGTGGACATATATCTACTGCTTTACAATTACTTTATCGAGCTCGTTACATAGCACTCTTATGCCATGGTGAATGTCATCCTGAAATAACACAAATAGACGTAAGCCCTATTTATTTTATTTATTTTTCGTGTTTCAGAATGTTCATCATAACTGTTATTCACAGTTGTTTTTTATCTGTCCCTTTTTTTAAAATAATATCATGGTTTAGTAATAGCGATTAAAATTCACTCTTATTTATTATAGACTGTTATAGAACTGGATCACGTTAATTGACTACTTAGCTAATCAGGTCTAACGGATACTCTAGAATTGTTTCGTGTAAAAATTATAAACATACTAACTTTTTTCTTATAGTGATTCCTACTTTCATTCGGCATTTTTTTATTTAGAATATAATTGCGTTCCTGTTCTGATTTGAGGAATTGTTGAATGAAGTGAATTGTCCGAACAATAAAAGTAGTAGCTGAGTGATAATAAGACAGATCATAACAACATTTCAACTACCATTTATTTACAATACTAGTTAATTTTAAAGGTTGTTTTTCTTTTTAATCAACTTATTTTGTATTATAACTTCTGTTATTTGATTTGAATTGAACTCTTATGGTTCGTTATTCTTTATTATTTTAGACTAATATCGGTTTAATGTTACAGTTGGTTGGTGAATTAGATTTGGCTTTAATCTTTTTCGAGAATGCATTATCTTTAATTAAATTGTAAGTTGATTTAGTTCACATCTTTAAAACCTTATTTATTATCTTAACTTGAAATATAACTTAAGAGTAAATTGATAATTAATTTGTTTGGCATTTAGTGATTTTAATAAACCAAAAGGATTTTTTCTCTTCGATCAATTTTCTTGTCTGCTTATCAATGAAGGTTTACTGACACAGATCATTTTCTTATTCGTAAAGTTGTTCCACTTGTGTATGTCAATCTTTGTAGGTTCATTTGTCTTGAGCTCATGATTTATGATCATACGGCTATCTTAATTACTTGAAGAAAAAATTGCAATATTTCACTTTGATGGTGTCATTACTCTAGGAATTTTCCCCTCGAACTAAGTAATTAAAAACAGTCAGTTAAACCTAACTGTTGACTGGGTAGCTCACATCTTTACTGATTGCAGTAAAATAATTTCTCAAAATAATTGATTTTGTTAACTGTTGAAATTATTTAACAAATTAAAGTCACATACTGCAGACAAATATGATTTAATTCGTTGAGTAAAGTCAGTTTTCTAGCTAAATAAAAGAAAACTTCACTGCTGTCGAAAGTTTCTTATTATCTAATAAATTTAAAGTATTCAATGCGCATATAACATTCACTAAGTATGGTTTTTCATGTTTTAGATTTTATGGTGAACGAAATTTGAAAGAAGCTTTCACTTGTCATTTAATCAGTCTTACGTATACCTATCGCGGCGATTTTCGTACTGCTCTTGATTATGAAAAACGTCGTTTTCTAATATACAAAGAACGTTTAGGTCCAGATAGCGATTATACTAAAGATAGTGATGAATGTTTGCGACAACTTACCCAACAAGCTGTGACAATTGCACGTAAAGTAGCTGAACTCACAGCAACTGCCTCCACAACAAAGCCAATTGGAAGTGGTGATTCTTCTTCGTCCACTGGTCATTTGAATTCACATTCAACTAACAATCATCTTTCTATCAGTGAATCACTTGTTGCTAAGGCAGTTTTATCAAATGCATTCTGTGGTGGTGTTAATGGGAATGTCAACGCTACTGGGGGTAGTGGTGGTTCATTAACTTTGCCTATGCCAACTGTTTCTTCAATTTTAGAAACTCTCAATCGTGTAAATGGAATATTAGTTATACAAATAAGGTAAGCATAAGAAAATTATTTTAGTTATCGTTACAATTGGAATTAGTGTAGGTTTGTATAGGTACTATGTTAGAGGGATTAAGATATTACCTAGGACTGGCCAACGGAGTGAAGGTCAGCAACATAACAACAGGACAAGCTAAGCTATTCGACTGCACCTCAGCCTTGCTAATTAAAGGAAGACCATGTTCAACTGGGAAAATATGTAATTCCACAAGCAACCCGGAAGAAAGAACAGCAGGCACACAGCTCATGTGTATATATACAGTACAAAAAATGTCCGTAGAAAGCGTCACAAAATAGCGTACTATAAAAGGAAACGAACCAGTTGCATTTAAAGTCCTCCCAGGTGAGAAACAAAATTGAATGTAAGAATAGGCTCTTTCGGTGTGAAATTAAAATATTCGAATCTAGCATTCCCAACAATGTGTTTTTGGTCAGAAAATGCGCTGAATTCATATCAATTTGTATTATAAATTTTATTTCATTCATTAATAGTTGTTAATATGCATGACGCCTTGATTTTATCATCATATAATAGAGTGATTGTTTCTTTTGAAAAATAACTATCACACGCAGTTAATAAACAAGACAGTCCGTTCTGTCTTACTTTACGGCAGCGAAACATGGCCTTTAAGAGTGGAAGACACCCGTAAGCTACTAGTATTTGACCACAGATGCCTTAGAAATATTGCTGGCATCTGCTGGGATCACCAGGTAAGTAATAGTGAGGTTAGACGCAGGGTATTAGGTAATGATGGTAAATCAGTTGATGTGGTTATGAATCTTCATCGACTGAGATGGTTGGGCCACGTATTACGTATGCCTGAACACCGATTACCACGACGTGCAATGCTAACCGGTGTAGGGGATGGTTGGAAGAAAGTTAGGGGCGGCCAAACCAAAACGTGGCATCAGTGCCTGAAGTCACTAACTTCTAGTCTGAGCCATGTTGGTAGATGCAGACTACTTGCTTGGGGTCCGCGTGACCATCGTAACCAATGGTTGGAGACCCTTGGTGACATGGCTCAGAATCGATCACAATGGCGTCGGTGTATACACTCCCTGTCTTCCCTTAAACTAAGAGAGTAAAATCACTTCATATCTTTCTTTCTACGAACTAATTCTTTCTTCCTATACTATATCCTTATTGCAACCTTTGACCTAACCACTCCTATGAATCCGGTGTTCATCTTGCTGTGCTAATGAGGTATGGCAACCTGGACCGATGCACATATGTGCCTGGTCCTACGTTGTAGCTGACTGACTGACTGACTGACGCAGTTAATATTAATTGAATTTGAATTTGATTGAATTATCCCATTGTTAATATTTCGACTGAAATTTGATCTGTTTTGGTTTTCGATATGTGCATCTTGTACAGTCTAACTTCATTAGCTATTATGACAGAAGTTAATATGGAATAAATAGACTCAGTAGCTGAATGGATAAGACGTCATTGAAAGGGAGCGTACTGCGTTTGAGTCGTGGAGTGAACGTCAACTCAAGGATGCAGGGACATCCATTTGACAAGTCCCAAATAGGACGAAATTTGCGTCCTGGCTTCCATTACTAGCCACATGTCATCTATTCGGCATTAACATACTTAATATTATCCTTTTGTATTTCGTTTAATACTTTTGACGTACTGCTGATTATTGTTTCACTCTAAAGTGAAGTGGTTTACAGTCCAAAAGTAATAGATACCAATGGCTCGTTAAGATTTACAGGTACTCATTATTTCAAATTATATTTAATTATTTTTCTTATCAGCCTCGAATTAGTTTCAAAACTCATTAATTTGATCCATGGTTCATATTTCACTGCTATAATTTTGTCATTGTTCCACTTTGTATTTAATTTCAGTCACGATCACTTTACTGTTTGTGTGATGTCTGCCTAACTACTGCTATCCTCATTGGTCAGCGACATTAGCTGGTATAAGAATAAGTTTGAAGAAATTTAGGGACAGTCGAATTGAAACATTACCTAAGGGTTGAGATGGCTCAAAATTTGTCGCAGTGGCTCAGATGCATTGTTTTTTCTTCTCTCTTCAGATATCGAATTCCAGCATTCATAGGAGTAATGCATATTTGTCTTAGACGTGATTGATTTTAACTGTTGGTTTTTAAATATTTCATTGTATTAAATCTGTGTTTTTCTCTTCCCCATACGCTTCAGAGGAAAAGATGACAATCAACATGGTCACAAAGAAGATAAAAATCTGTCAAGTAATAAATCTGATCTTACAGAATCCCATGTTGTTATATGTGATAAAATTCGGCAGTCCAAAAATGATATCCATCTGTTGACATCATCTAATGATAATAAATCGTCGAAATCTTTTCCCACCTCATTAAATAATAGTGATGTGAACAAACCTGTAATTCCAGTATTGTAGAGTAGCGTTGATGTTTTGAATTGATTTAACTCACTAATAATGATTATCAATTAATTATTATTATTTTAAGAATGAAATATAAAAACAAATTAAGAACAGAATATCTCCAATTGTTATGGAAATTAGCCGTATACAATATCCCTTTAATCATCTCAATTATATTTCTATAATTGTTTTAGGATGAATGGATACAAATAAGAATTCAATTCAAAACGTTCCTTGTTTTTCGTTTTGCATACATATATAATTTTAGTTCAATAAATACCAAAATTACTACAATATAATTAAACCCTTGTTGTATACTAACTATTAGTCTTCCTATTTTCTTTTTTTTTCCTATATACATATACATTGTGTTTATAATTTATGTATCATAGTTTAGATGAACATTCTTAGTTACATAATACTGTCTTTTGTATACGTTGACTGAAAAAAGAAGTTTTGTACACATTACACTTGTATTATTACTGTTTTGTCTTAATGCATATTTACATATATAAATGTACGTAGATTAAATTTCATAGTTTTGGTGTATGTGTGTGCAAAAACTTATTTCAATAAAATCACATTAGTTTGTAGATTAGTTAAGTAATTCTGCCCATTTTTGCATTTTAAAAGAATATTCAGTTTTACATCTTTTGTTTCTTAAATAAAATACATAATCCAGGATATCAACTTTTCTTCTCTATATTTTTGACAGATGAGAACGAAGAATAGAGAGTATAGATGCTATATCTCTGTTTAACTACTCATAATTTCTTCCCAGTTTACTTCCGTGTCAGTTTCTATTGTACGTACGAGTAGGCGGTAAACAGTTCCAAGTAATACATAAGATTTTAACAAGTGACTTAACACTTCTGTTTAGCACTCTGTGCCTGACTTCAAAATTGTTCGTGCATTCAAGCCGTTTAATCACTTTAGGCATATCAGTCAAAAAATATCTGCCGCGTAGTCACAGAGTGATTCAGTTACCTAAAAAATGGTGCAGGATGGCGTTTTGCGAGAAATTTTACGCACATATTTCCATTTATGATCTTGGAGAGCGCAAGAACACGTATTTTAACAGAATAACATGAATTCATCTTAGTTTGTTTGGTTCTCGCCAGCTGCTTGGAACCTGAGATATTTAAAAGTCATAATTACAAAATGGGTTCAAAGCACATGAAAGATTTTAGTTGTAAGTTATTTTGAAGACATCAGTTTATTATAGCAAGGATGTAAATAAACTTAATAGACTGAATAAGATATTGTATATATATATATATATATATATATATATATATATATATTTATATATTATATTATATCATCCAAAATAATATTCTACAACATTGGTTGTAACAAGAGTCCAAAGGGCTAGAATCATTTGGTTACGTAATGAGTAAACGCCGATAAATAAGAGAAAATACAATTAGTTAAATTCAGTTAATAAACTAAGATTATTAAGCTAAAAGCCTGTCGAAATAAAATGATGTAATTAGATGGAATAGTTGAAAATAAGTTTTCTAAGATGCAATGAAGGAATATTTATCACGAAGTCAAGGAAAGATTAATAGCCATCTTTTGAACATCGAGTTCTTGACGCCTATTAGCAACGGCTTCAGAGGACTGGAGCTTGGGTGTGTACTTATCACTCTGAAGGGTTACAAGATGTCGACTTGATGTCCTGTATCCAAGACATGTTTATTAATTACACTTTAAAGTCCTACTTCCTGTTCTGCCAACATATCTGCTTTGACAGGTACACCTAAATTTATAAACACAGTTAGCGATAACATGAAAGGGATGCTTATCGACCCTTGGTTGGATTATTGAGCCTGTTGTTTTATACAAAATGCATAGCTCGGCTGCCAGGTAAATTTCGGCTAATACAGTGTAAAGCTTCTTGTTGATTGTGGTAGCTACGTCATCAACTTTGAAGTTGAGATTTATAGAGATTGGTTTTTTATTGACTATAGTCCTACCCGTCTTGTTTTCTTTAGATTTTTTACATCTGTCAGTAAATTTCTGTGTGTAGTAGTCTGGTCTTAAAAGTTTTTCATCGTCCATCAGTTTTTCTCCCAGTTATTATTGTAAGCATGATCTAAGATCTCGCGGCTCACGTTTGCCTCATATGTATGGTTTACTAAAGGTTCACAAACGTTACAACCCTCTTAGACTTATCCAATCAATGATCACTTCACCGTATCACAAAGTTGCACGCTGGCTAGCAGGGAAGCTACAAGTCCGTTCTTCATAAATTACGAGCTTGAACGTAGTTGATCAATCAATCTCAATACTCCGGTTGAAATCCTAAATGTATTATGTTACTTTCAAACATCGTCCGGTTACTGATTTATCAGCACGATGTCATTGTTTAGTCGTGATGTGGGAAGTATTCATTTCATCTCAAGGTAATATAGTTATGGTAAAGTATATCAAGAAAGTTAACATGGATTATACAGTTTACGAAGTTTCACCTCATTTCAATCCATACTTCTTCCACTATTTTAAACGAACTACTAACGAGTAGTAAATTGCTACATTTTAAATATTTAAGTTGCCAAAACAGTGAATTTTTTTGGTCTTGTTTAATTACGTCAACCAGAATATCATTAAGTATTCGTATAATTGAAGGTCTTTCTCGACTATCCCTATGCTTTTTTCTTGAGCACACCGAAATTAATGACAATGTGTAGCTCAGGAGGAGGTTGCATGTGTTGTGTTTTTTCTGAGCTTCAGAGTGCAATTAATGAAGCTTTCACTGTCTTTCTGGATGACATTGTGAGTTTGTGTGTGTATTTTTACTTGCTACTGTCACACCAAATGATGGTTAACATTATTGATGTCTAATCCTGCCACTGAATCATGTAAGTCAATGTAAATTAGAATACGGTTGATCGTGCCACAAACGAGACCAGAATGCTATTTAATGAAAACTGATGCACTCAATATTCATACCTTACACCCTTTTCGTATTAAAATATTGTGACGTCAAAGTTCTAGACATATTTTTAAGGGAATATTTTCTCAAGAGAAAAGTTTCAATGTTTATATAAAAAATTTGAACATTATGAGTAACGATTTCCCTACAGGGAATGATTACAAAATCGTTTACTTTACGAAAATATAAATCCTAAAGTTATTGTAAGTATTTGAGACAAGAACCAAAGGACACAGTTGAGCAGTCAGTTGAGTGGGACTCTTCAGGACAGAGTTGTATGGGTAATGGTGGTTAGCGGCCTTTGCTTTTCCGCGAGGTGTAACAACTGTATGTAAGTGTTTCAGTTAATTTTGCTTGTCTTTATCCATGATTAATAGTATTTATGACAGTACATCAAAATACAATCCATTCGCTCAATTTTCTTGTATCACTCTAAATTAGGAGATAAGTAATTATAAATTTGTGACTACATCATATTTCATTTATTCAACAAATAAATTCTTGAACGCTTTCAGCTTTACCACGGTTACAAAAACTACCACTCAGTGACATATGTTTTAAATCGTAATATATTGCAATTTGTTCACATTAAGGTTGTGCACAAAGTGAATGTGATTCACATTCATTCAGTAGATGTTTACTATTTGAGTGTAATTGGGAAAAATTAATAAACGTATATTTGATAACATGTTAGGAAGATGTGGAATTCTTCACGTACCTGGGAAGCATTATCGACGAACAAGACGAATCGGATGCAGACTTAAAGGTCAGGATTGGCAAATCAAGGACAATATTACTATAGATGAAGAACATCTAGAACTGAAAACAACTGTCTGTCAAACAATATAAAAATCAGAATATTCAATACGAACCTCAAGACATTTCTATTGTACGCAGCTGAAATTTGGACAACTACCACAACCATCATAAAAAAAGTATAGGTATTTATAAACAATTATTTACACAAGATACTCAACGTCCTTTGGACGGACGCCATCAGCAACAGTCTACTATGGGAGAGGACAAACCAGCTTCCTGATGAAAAGGAAATTAGAGAAAGATGTTGGAAGTGGATAGGACATAAATTGAGAAAATCATCAGACTGTATCACAAGGCATTCGCTAACTTAGAATCCTGAAGAGAAAAGGAAAAGAGATACACCAAGGAACACATTACGTTGGGAAATAGAAGCAGATATGAAAAAGATGAATAACAACTGGAAAGAGCTGGAAATAATTGCCCAGGACAGGGTTGGATGTAGAATGCTGTTGGGCGGCCTATGTTCCTCCACGAGGAGTAACAGGCGTAAGTAAGTAAGTATACAGTAGTACAATATAGATTATTTTATCACATGATCAAAAAGATATTTGAAAATTTGTCAAAATTTCATCAAATAGTTCAATAGAAATTCAGTGGCATGTATGAAGAAGACCTTAGACGTATAAATTTTATTTAAAATAATCTGAAGAATTGAAATTATCATAATCCTAACGATCAAGCTGAGAAAGTGGTCCGAATTTATTCAAGCCAGTAACTAAAATCATAAAAATATCAAAACTAAATCAATATGAATCTCTGCCCAATAGGGTTTTGTATAGCTGTCAAGGTGTTTCGCTCTTAAATACAGAAACACATTCGCTACATTTAATTTCATACAACAAGTTTTCCTGTTCCTCCAGCACTTCGCTTTCTCTCAAACCAACGAAAACAAAATTTAATGTCATGAATTTCAGGAATCCTTTCGCTCTTATTAGATATATCTTCAGAGTATCAGAACATTAACATATTTCACTGTAACTTGTCCAAGTTGAAAAGAAACCTGAAAACCAGATATGCCAACATAATGAAAAAAATTCTTCGAAAAATATTTTAACAACATTCACATTGAAAACATAATTCTTATGGCAAACCACGAAGAGAAGGATAAACAAATTACAAAGAGTCAACTAAAGAGATATTTTGAAGCTAATCGTCGAGATGATGATCTAATTGAGGTTAGTTGAAAGAAATCAATAATAATGTATGAATGTTTACAACTACTCATAAATCATGTATTGTTTTAAAAAGTTTTGAATACTTGAACAGCTAGTTGAATAATACAGGAATTAATCCTTCGAATGAAATTAACTATGATATTGAAGAGAGTGATCACCACTAAGTTAATTCACATAGGTCTATGCCTAGAACTGGCTTCTAGTAAACTGAACTTTGTTCAATGATTTTTGAAGAAAGGTATCAATAAGCACAAATCTTGGTTTGTAGAATACAGAAAATCATTGAGGAAATGTTATTGAGAAATTGTAATTTGAAAGGATGTTGGAGAGAACAAATGTGTCTGAGTTATGAGTCCACAACCTAATGCGAGAGAAACACTCATCACATGTAGATCACTCAGCGAATACACTATTATCGAGTTATTGAATCAAAAAACACTTCATAACGTAAACTGGGATCTAGATTATCCAGTTATATCAATTATTTCACTTGTTCATTGAAATTATTGTGCATTATGCAGTTTGAGTACATTTCAAAGTCAAAGCAATTTATAATCACTACGATCCTATTGACTTTTAGTTCATAAATATGAATGTGAAAGTGAACAAACATTGAATGTTTTCATAGACTACTAATCTTTACTAAATTCTATTATTTACCATTAGAATTGGATGAAGTTATTTCAATTAAGAAATTCGCCGAAGAGAATCATCTGGGTAATCGAATGGTTCAAGTAAGTTTTGATTATCAACAT